CAGGAAGTATTCAAATGGGAGCAGTAGTAAAGTCAGAGAGTCCTCTACGTGTGTACGAGACCAGACAATGAGGGTGTCTGAGGAGTGTCCTTTTATCCAGGCTGGTTGATGAGGTGCTTGATTGGTGACAGGTGCAGGTGCTCAGTACTCAGGTGAAGGTGGTTGCGGTGATTGGGAGGTGACTGAGTCTGGCCGATCAGGGCTGTGTTCTATCATCAATTCTTTTTATCCTCTATACAAATGAGTGTCAAAGTTATGAGGATAATTATGTTGTTAAATTATGACGATGATTTACTTGTTGTTTGGTCTAAGATCAGAGGATGACCAGTACTCACCTCGCGATTATGCAGAGAAATGGGCACAACGAATGGCTGACGCATATAAATTAGCCTCGGACAACAGTAAACAAGCAAGTGCACAAAACAAGAAATACTATGACCAGCACCTTCGGGGTGTTGTGTTGCAACCAGGAGATTGAGTTCTGGTTCGGAACTTGAGTGAACGGGGAGGGCCTGGAAAGTTAAGATTGTACTGGGAGAGAACTGTGCATCTGGTCAAAGAAAGAGTAGGAGATGGACCAGTATCAAGTATACTCTTGAGTCCGGTGGAGACCAAAATCCAGCAGTGTTATACGTACCTTGCATCAGAATCTGCTTCACCTGGTAAAGGACCTACCTGTAGACCTGCCACCTATGAGAGCTGCCGAGTCATGTAGACCGCACGAGTCTTCACTTACCCCACATTAGGTCAGCCCAGTTATGAAATGCCTATTGAGATAGGTGCTACCCAGGTGATGCCAACACCCAAGTTACTGTATTATTCTAATGGCGTACAGGGACCAGTATATGTGACTTGCGCTTATGTCCCGCTTACATTTCCTTACCAGATAGGGTCCTATCCCACTGTATCACCTTATGCTGCCTTTGCTGCCTACCTACAAGAAAACATAATTAAGACATGCACAGATATGAACACATATTACATATTGACACTGTAATCTTGAAAGTGTGTGCAGTGCGTTGAGAATGGTTATGTTGAGCAAGCTGATTATAGTGTTTAAGAGGTAAAGTGGTCAGTGTTGTCTGGTGCAATTTCTTTTGTCAGGGAGAGTGTGACACCCTGTATGTGTAGTCACAGGAACGATTCTTTTTTTTCATGTATTTGATTATTTTATGGTGTTTTTGATGTTGTTTCAAGTACTGTGATTATACTGAATCTTGTGGAATAACCCCGGTGGACAGTAGGGGGAGACACTGTGCTGAACAGAGACTGAGTGGTTAACGGTGAGTCGCGGAGAAGAAGCCTTTACAAGAGCGACTCTGTTAATGAAAGCAGCACAACGGTGGCTGTCTTATTGTTTTATTCAATCTGTAACGAAGGAGGCGTGACTACGGATTGTGGATCCATTTGCAGGCTTTATTAAAAGAGACCGTGGTCAAAACAGGCAGGGTCCAGAAACAGCAAACAGTAACAGCAGAGGCAAGGCAAAAGAGTAATCCAGAAACAGTCGATGGTCAGGGCAGGCAGCAAACAATCAAAAACAAGGAAATAGTCCAGGATCAAAACACGATAATCAGGAAACACGGAAACACGGAAGGCAAGACAACAGGAGGCTAAACATTAAATCACCAACAAAGTCAGAGAGTGTGTGAGCTAATTTTAAAGTCTTTCTAATGTGAGACAGCTGTGACCTGATGATGAGCTCTGATGAAAGACAGGTGATTGCAATTGATGATGTGTCCAGGCAGAGGATTATGGGAACTGGAGTCCGGGGTGAGTAAAGGGTACAGGATGGGGTGCCCTCAAGCGGAGCTCATGGGCACTCCAGCTAGAGATCATGACAGGACAGGCAGAAAGTTCACAGATGGCCTCCATAGCTGTGACAGGACAGGCAGAGAGTTCACAGACGGCCTCCATAGCCGTAAAGGGACAGGCAGAGAATTCACAGATGGTCTCCATAGCCGTGACAGGACAGGAAGAGAGTTCACAGACGGCCTCCATAGCCATGACGGGACAGGCAGAGAGTTCACAGACGGCCTCTAAAGCCGTGACAAGACAGGCAGAGAGTTCACAGACGGTCTCCTTGACCGTAACAGGACAGGTAGAGAGCTGATAAGTGGATACCACTGACACCTCTGGGGGTTCTGTAGCGGATGCCGCCACCTCTGGAGGTTCTACAGCAGTAGCATCAGGAGTTTCAACAAACACAGAGAGTTCAGAGACAGTGCTTGCGGTCGTGACAGAAGCATCAGGAAACAGGGAGAATTCATCAACATTCTCCTTGACAGGGTAGATATGGAGTTCAGTAATGGTCTCTTCGACCGTGACATGACAGGCTAAAAGTGCATTGCTGGGCGCCACCACCACGCAAGGAGCTGAAGTGAGCGCTGCCGCCTCGGGAGGTTCTGCAGCATACGCCAGGTAGAGAGCTGATAAGTGGATACCACTGACACCTCTGGAGGTTCTGCAGCGGATGCCGCCACCTCTGGAGGTTCTACAGCAGTAGCATCAGGAGTTTCAACAAACACAGAGAGTTCAGAGACAGTGCTTGCGGTCGTGACAGAAGCATCAGGAAACAGGGAGAATTCATCAACATTCTCCTTGACAGGGTAGATATGGAGTTCAGTAATGGTCTCTTCGACCGTGACATGACAGGCTAAAAGTGCATTGCTGGGCGCCACCACCACGCAAGGAGCTGAAGTGAGCGCTGCCGCCTCGGGAGGTTCTGCAGCATACGCCGCGACTTGTGTAGATTAATTTAGTAAAAAAGGCTTGCCTGCTGTCTTTGGCGTATATTTGTATACTTTTACTATCTAATCAATCTCAGCATGCGTTAATTTTGGCTAAACTTTAATTAAAACTGAAACTAAAACTGAAACTAAACTATATAAAAACTAAATAAAAATGCGTTCACAAAATAAAAACTAAAATAAAACTAACAAAAATATGAATGAAACTAATAAAAACTAAACTGAATTTTATAGCAAATTTGAAAACAATATTAAAATAAAACAAATGTAAAAATTCTAAACTATAATAACCTTGCACTGTTTGTGTCGTAATGCCAACCAGGAACAGCTTCTTTCTTCCAGTCAGAACGAAAATGCTTTGTGGAGAAGAAATCATTCACCCACTCGGCTGAAAAAATCTGAATGAGTGGATGCACCTGTCGCCTATTTATACCCATATGCATGGCCGGACTTACCATTGGGCTTGAGTGGGCTGCAGCCCATGGGCCCCGCCTTGTAGGGGGCCCCGCCTTTGCCCGTTTATGTTTGTTTGATTTGTTCTTTATATGCCAGCCAGAATTCAGAAATTATTAGCCGCATTTCCACTGCGCATGCAAGATCTAAACGGGCCAGCCGGGGCTAAAGCTTACAACTATGACCTTCGAGGCCACATTTAACAGCATAAACTGGTATTTATGATTATTTCACATAGAAGAAAGATGAATCGCATCTGCACCAATTGGTTTGTTATCACATGACTACTTTAAACAGCTCCATTATCTTTTTTCTTTTTTTTTCTCGAATATCTGCATGATCGCAAATGTACAACATCGCAAACTTTCAGAGTAACTTTCAGACACAAAATTCACTTTTGCTCCATCAGAAAGAAAATAGAACAAACAGCAGAACCGCTGCGTCTCCGAACAACAGTGTTTTGTTCCTCAGCGTTACACGGACCAGCGATTCAATCAGGCAAGCTATAAGTTCAGTCGCCAAGTTAAATGAATCAACCCCTCAGAGAACTGATCAATACATTCAGTGATTTGTATCTGGACTCTGAGGAAGATGAGGAGGATTGCACAGGTGAGGATCTGGATAATTTTCCCTTACCACCCCCTCCACCACCTGAAGCTGACAGAGAACTAATCCCCTCTGTTACACTTTTGAATGGACGACTGGATGAAAGAATAACATCACTGGAAGGTCAAATTGAAGATTGTTATCAGAGAGTGGATGAATGTGTTTCTCAGGATGAGATGAAAAACAAATGTAAAGCCATTGAAGCAAGATTGCATTATTTTGTTGAACGTGAATGTGACAGAGTTACGAAAAAGCTTGAACTCACAATACAAGATTTAGGAAGATGGATATTAATTACAAGGATAAGAACTATTTACATCTGCCTTTTCTACAAGGTTTCTTCTTTCGCTTTTGGACTGGGACATATAAGTATAACCATCTTCATTACATGAACATTTTGTACTCGTATTGTAACCTTTTCAAGCAACATTGCCAGGAATCATTGGGCAATGATGCCATCAGCGTGCAACCAGGTGAGACACCTGGTCAGCTTCAAATTGTTTCTCTGAATAGCATGAAAATCCTTTGTTATTTAAAGGTGCAGTAAGCGATTTCTGAGAAATGCTGTTGAAAATGGATCAGACCTAGCACCAAAACACACTTGTAGCCGATAAGTCCACTCATGCAGTTGCCTGTGTTTCATAGCATGTTCATGAATTTGGGGGTGGAACTATCAAGATGTGATCCTTTTGGATAGTGGTGTTTTGGTGATTTCAAATATCAATTGTCAACCTCACAAATTGTTTACTGCACCTTTAAATTGTGATTAAATTGTGTACAGAATGAAAGCATGGAATGCTCCCTTTACAATTGTTGGAGCAGAAAATCACTTCAGTTCAGTTCGAGCTCGAGCTCAGTGACTAAGATTTGAACTCCTACCAAAACTCCCATTATAATCAATGACATTGTCTACACTGTATAATGAATTCCTAAAGAAGGATTCCTGTCTTTCCCCCAAATGTGATTACCAAAAGCAGTGAATAAAACTTTTGTGTGATGCACACACAAGCAAACAATGTTCAGAGACAAGAGAAAATTCAGAGGAACAGAAAAAGTTAGTTTCCAAACAAAGCTGTTGTCGTTATTAATTATGTTGTTTACAATAGTATAACACATAAAAAGCAGATATTCTGATTTACAATAACTTTACAGTAAGGTTATGTTTGTTAACACAAGGTAACATGAAATAACAATGAAAAATACTTTTAAAGCATTTATCAATTTCAGGTAATCTTTCAACATTTACTAAAACATTATTAAATTCAAAAGTTGTTATTAAATGCATTAACTAACATTAATTAACAGCTGGGACCTTATTGTTAAGTGTTTATATATATATATACAGGTGCATCTCAATGAACGTTACAAACAAAATAACAAAAAACACATTGATGGGTCAGCAGGTGGCGTGTTTATATATTTTTATACATAATATATTTAATAGAACATATGCTTATTTTTTGATTAATGCTAAATAGTTTAATGGCTGGTAAGAAATAGTAGCAAATTCAGAGTCACACTAAATTAATTTGTTATTGGCAGGTGTGGCATAATTACATTTTCCTGAAAATGTCTGTATGCCTGAACTCTTTCACTCTTTTGAAAAATATGATTTCAACTTACATTTTTGTTGCTACATGCCTCAAAATAAGTCACAACATATTAACTTTTTTTTCACCACAGTTTAACAATCTTTTGTCTTATTTCTTTGGTTTGTAAACCATATACGACAGGATTTAGTCCTGGTGGTACAATATGAAACATTATACTAGCTAGCTTCCTGTTTTCAGAGTATTCAGGAAAACGATGAAGAAAAATCATGATGGCACAAGAAACAAACATTATTAAATAAACAGCTATGTGACTGCCACACGTTTTTATGGCTTTACTGTTGAGTGCTTTGTTTTTCCTAATTATACATACAGCAACAATCCTGATATATGTTATAAACATCAGTGTCACTGATATGCTGAGTGCTGCCACAGAATAAACAATTCCAAACATATTATTTATGGCCACATTTTCACAGGACAATTTATAAAGCGAAGCGTTGTCACAGAAAGGGTTTTCAATTTTAGATCTGCAGCGAGACAAACGTACAGTGAGACCTATCATAATTGCCACTACAATTGCAGGCAGTGCCCAGGCTATTGCTGATATTTTAACCACCATTTTATTGGTCATTATAGTTGTGTATAGCAATGGATTGCATATAGCCACTTGTCTGTCATAGGCCATGGTTACTAGTGCAGTGTGGCTTGCTGTTGCAAATATGTGAACAAAATATGCTTGAATAATACACTCCACATATGTTATATAGCGCTCTGAGCCCTGCCTGAAAATTTCCTGCATTAAGCGTGGTAAAATGACAGTAGTCCCTATTATGTCATTCACTGGCAGGTTACAGAACAGAAAATGCATAGGATGATGTAAGTTCTTCTCTATTGCAATCAGAATTATTAGTCCAATGTTACATCCCATTGCAAAGACATAAAACAAGAAAAGCAAGATAAAAACAAAATAGGAAGCCTGAGGTGTAACTTTCAGTCCCTCCACAAGGAGAATGTTGTTTGCGAATGTCAGGTTGTCCATTAATTACTCTACACAAAACCTGTGAACAATAAAACACAGACTTTTCACTGTCATTAAATATCTCAAGTGTCATCTTAAATGTCTACATCTTAAATGTCTGCATTACACTATGAGAAACTATGTTGATAGATATTTGTGTTTTACCTAGTATTCAGTATTTCTTTTTCATATAACATATGATGGTATTTTCAGGTGTTTTTTTTGCATGTAAATCTACATACTGTATGCTGCTTATTTACAAAACAAAATACTGTACATTGTTTGCTCCTCCCAATCATTTTTAGAGTCAACATAAATTGGCACTTTTCAAAGCACATAGTCATTTAAACTTTTAGCACTACATAATAATTTAAAAAATGAATTAATAATTTGTTTGATTTTCCAGAACCTGGAGTCATTTGTTTGCTTTTCCTGGTGTTTGCTTTTCTAACAAAACAAAGCATAATTGTACCCGCAGTATTTGAATATTACCTCAGATCAAATTGTCCGGTAAAGAGTTAAAGCGAAATCTATGAATCTTAAGTTTTACTGTAAGTGCATAAACAACTTGCTCTTCTCTGAAGAAATATTTGCTTGTCCTTGCCTTTTAATAACTGATTCAAATATGTTCTCTCTGCTGTCATTACCCAAGAGGGGAAACTAATTATTTTGCTTGATGGCATGACCATAGCTAGAGATATTCTAATTGTGGTTGGCTCTTTGCTCTTGTTACCTAGGTGTGTAGGTGTGTGTGTTGTTGTTGTCAGTATGCGTCATCAGCCCACATCTTGCCCCTAGTCAGACACCGCTACGTCACGTAACAGCAACAAAAACATGAACAAACACTGAATGATTGTCTTTTTATTAACTAACATTAACACAGATTAATAAATGTATTGTTCCATGTTCTGAAGTCTTCTTCTCCGTTTTTAGTTTATCTCTGTGGCACAATTACAGTGCCACATACTGGTCTGGCATGTATACTACATCGTTTTGTGTCAGTTTCGTGGTTTCGTGTGGATGCAGATATTTCTTGAGACGAGGGGGAAAAAAAAAGATCAGATAGGTAAAGCTCTGGCTTCGTGTGGACGTAGCCCTAGTTGTATGGGATTTGCATGTTAGAGGATAGTCTGTAACATTAGGGGATAGAAATAATTCCAAGTGCTTATGGGTCTAGAGAGCATTGTTTTCCTGCATCTATCCACCTTCATGGTTGGTTGGTCATAGGTGGTTATGGCCTTGGTGAAAACTAAACCCTGACAATGATAATCAGAATACATAGAACCTTCTCTCTTGTTTTTTTTTTGAAAAATAAAACATAAAAGTTCTTATACAGTACATAGTTTGAAATTAAATGGCTAAATATATGTGAATGTGTAAAACAAAAGTTCTGTTTTACAATCTATTCATAAGTGACGAAGTTAAATTAATGGGAGAACATTTTTTAAACAAAGTACATCAATTGTTATGAACTGGTAGCACTTTATTTTATCGTTCCCTTTCAGTCGGTCACTCCGAGTCACGTCGGTGACCGACGAATTGGGATATCGCTTCGATAGACCAATCTACTTCGCGTGTAAACTAAACGAGCCAATGCACATTGGCATGCAATTATTGCATCCAGCTGCCGCTGCGTGTCCCTGTCTCCCCGTGTCTTTATGAAAGTCGCGGAGGCAGCTCTTCCCCTCAGAGAGCAGGGTGTTCGCGTTCTCAATTATCTAGATGATTGGCTTATACTAGCACAGTCTCAGGATCAGTTGTGCGAGCACAGGGACCTGGCGCAGTAGATTGGTCTATCGAAGCGATATCCCAATTCGTCGGTCACCGACGTGACGTCTCCGTTCCCTCCTTCAGGGAAAGAGGGTTACCATACGTAACCGAGACGTTTTGTTCCACGTGTACATAAGTATGTATTTCTTATGGTACAATAACTGGGTAGTAACTAAATACTAATCCTGAACCTATCCCTAAATCTAACGTTACCCATGTAGTTACTTTATATTACCCAGTACATTCTTAAGTGCACATACTGTAAAATAAGGTGCAAATTGTAAATTATTATTCACTTAAATCAAGTTTCATAAATAAATAAATAAGACAGATCTCTGCTAAGTCATTGTTTTCAAAATATTACTCAGCAATATATTTATTAAAGTTTTTTTAATTTTTTTATTTCAAACATTGGAATAAAAATTCAATTGACATTATCTACAGCAAAGTTTAAAAGTCTTTTGTCTTATCTCTTTGGTTTGTAAACCATATACTAAAGGATTTAGTCCTGGTGGTACAATATGGAACATTACACTAGCCAGCTTCCTATTTTCAGAGTATTCAGGAGAACGATGGAAAAAAAACATGATGGCACAAGAAACAAACATAATTATATAAACAGCTATGTGTTTGCCACATGTTTTTATGGCTTTACTGTTCAGTGCTTTGTTTTTGCTGGTTATGCATACTGCAGCAATTTTTCCATAAGTAATGAATACAGACCCAAGTGAGAAAATAAAGATAACCACAGTAGAAATTATTCCATACACATTATTAATAGCCACACTGTCCTCACAGGACAGTTTAAACAGTGAGGCATTATCACAGAAAGGGCTTTCAATTTTATATTTGCAGCGAGACAGGCGTACAGTGAGTCCTATCAGAATTGTCACTGTAATTACTGACACCCCCCAGGCTAATGCTGATAGTTTAATCACCATTTTATTGGTCATTATAGCTGAGTATCGCAGTGGATTACATATAGCCACATATCTGTCAAAGGCCATTATCATCAGCACATAGTGGCTTGCTGCTGCAAACACATGTACAAAATTAGCTTGAACAACACAGTCCACATATGTCATGTAGCGCTCTGAGGTTTCCCTTAAAATGTCCTGTAGTAAGCGTGGCATAATGACAGTGGTCCCTAGTATATTGTTCAGTGGCAAGTTACAGAACAGAAAATTAATAGGGTGATGCAGATTCTTTTCAGTTGAGATCACAATTACAAGTGCAATGTTACATCCCATTGTAAAGATATAAGCCAAGAGAAGCAGGATGAAGACAGGAGATGAAGATAGGAGGACTGACGTGTAACTTTCAGTCCCTCCACAAGAAGTACATTGTTTGTGAAGGTCTGGTTGTCCATTAGTTGCTCTACACAAAACCTGAAAAACAACAACAAAAAAGTAACAACAGTCCTGTCACAGTTTGTTTCATATGTAAACCAGTTATGATGCATATGTTATAGATAACAATCTTTGTTTTCTGTCTGATCAGTTTTTACATTTTTTGCACTAATTGCCGTGTTTTTTGAAACCACAAAATCATTATATACTGTATTAGCACCACAAGCCCCACCAATGATTCTGAAATAACTTTAAAGTTATGTAATACCTGATATTTGTATGTCTAACAAAAGAGTTCATACTTACACCAGAAGTTAGACGCAATCACCAAGATTGAAATATTGCTTCACAGATGACAAGTTGTCAAGAAACCTTAACCTACCCTTGCCTTTTAATACTGTACAAGGCTTTTTTTTTTCTGTCATCACCCAAGAGGGAAAAGTAATAGTACTTGGTGCCTAATGACCAGTGATAATTGTGGTGGTTATCTTTGCTTTAATTACCTGTCGGGGTCATGTGTCTCTTTGTTATGATTGTCATTATAGCTCAATGCAAGGCTGGTAATCCTGTTCTTGGAGATCTTCCTTCCTGCTAAGGTGAGTAATAATATCACTATTCTTAATCTTTGCCATTCAGACTCCACCAGTTTTGCTGTCATCATAGACTTCACTTTATGTATATATTTTTTATATCTTTACAATATTTTTCTGTCACATTTGCCACTTATGGGACGAAACTAGTCTCAAATTACATGGCACTAGCCCAGCTACATATACACAGTCCTTTGTGTATTTTATTTATGGCTTATGCTATTTTTCTGTAATACAATGGCACATTGTCAGATAGTCCTTTGTTTTATTATTATTGTTATTATTTAATGAGATTTAATGAGTCCAATATGGTATATGTTGCTAGAGGTAAAAATGTAAAGAAAAAAAAAAGAGAAGTGATTGATTAAATATGATGTTAATGTGCGTTAATTGTGTTGTCACAATTATCCTTTTTTCAAATCTGGGCATATAAGAAAGGTAGCAAAGAATAATTCATATTTTAAACTGGGAAGTTCTGAAACTTGCAATATGTTTTCATTGTAGAGTAACCTCTTAAATGTGTAAATATCAAAAACAGTTTGACTCTTCATTTCACGAGCCCTTTAATTTATAGACAAAATGCATTTTTCGCCAACCAGACAGGCCTCTTTTATAAACCTTGTCACACACCATATTCTGATTAGTAAGCAATAAATAGCATAAGTATGTGATGAAGTAAACAATGTTTTTCATTTAAACATTTACATTAAATATACAACTCTCATGATTAATGGTCAAAAATATAACACATCTTAGCTATCATAAGTAAAATTTCCACTCAGGACAGAGAGCTACAACCAGACTCATTCTTGAGATCTGTTTGACCTCTTCCTCACAGGAATACACCACTCTCAGAATGGCTCAGAGACTTTTTCTACATATCTAAATTGCATAAGGTCATTTTAAAATGATGTTAAGAGGACTTCTAACCAAACATCATTCCATTGCATAACTCAGTATCATGTCTGTAACCCAATAGTTTATAGCTTTATGTGTGTTTGGTATATGTGTGAATGATAATCCATGTCTCAAATGTTGATATCAATCAGTTGTTGGTAAAATGTATCATATTCTCATGATAGAAATCATATCTAAATTATACTCTGAAAGAGCAAGACAATTCAAGAAATGCGACTAATAAGATAGCGTGTTGATTTTGTATGGGGAGGAGAAACATAGTAACACCTAAGCTAAAACAATGTCTACTTGGTCAGGACACTATTATTGAATTGTCCAACAGCCGGGTTTAAAACTCATGACAAAAACAATTCATAAGCTTCTGAGCATTCTTTTCTTTTTCCTAACATTTTCAGACCTTTTCAGATCCATGCCCTATGCAGTGCAAACAAAAGTAGCTGAGCAGTTAAATCGTCTACAAAAGGAGCATATCATCTGACCCGTAAAGTACAAGGAGTGTGCTGCAGCAGTGGTTTCGATCCTGAAGGCTGATGTTTCCATAAGGCTCTTTGGTGACTATAAGTTGATTGTTACTCGAGTAGCATCCTTAGATCAGTACCCAATACCTCGTTTGGAGGATCTGTGCAGTACACTGTCTGGAGGTAAAAGTTCTCTAAATTGGACCTGAGTCACACCTACCAGCAGGTGGTGGTGGATGAGGAGTCTCAAAAGTAAGTGACAGTGAACTCAGGTCTGTCGAGGTCTGTTAACCGGTTACCTTTCAGAATGGTATCAGCCCCTGCTATTTTTCAAAGCATAATGAAAGGTTTGGTGCAAGGAATTCCCAAGGTAGCAATTTATTTGGATGATATCTTGATCACAGGCATGGATATGGCAAACCACTTAGAAAACCTGGCAGCAGTGTTGCAAAGGCTCAAAAGAGAGAAGTTTTTGTCCTTGCAGGATGACGTTGAGTATCTTGGTCATAAAGTAAACTCTCAAGGTCTCCAACCCATAGAAAGGAAAGTGAGGGCCATAGTGGAGGTCCCATCTCTTTCTAATGTGTCAGAACTGAAGGCCTACCTTGGGTTATTAAACTACTATGGAACATTTCACCCAAATCTAGCGACCTGCTTGACATTGCTGTATGAAGAGGCCTTCCAGCATTCAAAGATGCTGCTGCAATCTGCAAATATCCTGGTATATTATTCAGCAGGTAGAGATCTGGTTTACTAGTGCTTAGCTGCCACACACTTACAAACATCCACCAAGTCACAATCCTCCACATTTGACGAAGATCACCACTCTGCGTGCTCAAGACAGGCCAACGTTATTGGTACGTCTGTGAACTGGAGCAGTGCAGCTTAGGTGCTGAAGGAAAGTCTTCACGGGTAAGAGATCAGGAATGCTGTTTCAGGGATCACAGTGGTATATATAGGAAGTGCTGCTTCCATAGTTTATCACACCTGAGGCGTTTCCCATAGTGAGATACCAAGTGATTGTTTGCAAGAGAACCACACAAGAGAGAGGAATGCAATCAGTCATTTAGTAATAACTGCCCTTAACTTACAGTACCAACTGGAACTGCTAGAATTGTACTCAGTCTACTACATCTCAGCTAACACAATCACCCACCCCACATAATAAATAAATAAATAAATAAATAAATAAATATTCAATTAACTTACAAAGTCTTTGAGGTATCTGGTTCACATTTTTCAATTGATGACCTTCTTACAGTCAGTGACTCTGGTAAAAGAGTGTCTGGTAAAACAAGGACCATTGTCAGATAGCAACATCTCAGGTAGCCTGAATACACTGAAACTTTGCCTGAGTCTTTCTATAGTGGTTTGGGAGATGGCTGCATTTGTTGGGTATATGTCCATCCACTTCGAATGTGAGTCCATAACAATCAGAAACATCCCTTGAAATAGTCGCATAGTGATCATGTGTTCTGGACCAGGGGGTCATTGGACATGCCCACGGATGTAAAGGAACTGCCACGGGTGCTTTTCTATATTTTTCCACATACTTCACACACTTGAGCCTCTTTTTCCACATCTCTGTCTATATTGGGCCACCAAAAATAAGGTCTTGCTAATCATTTCTTTTTTTTTTGAAACACCTATGTGGGTCTGGTGAAGTAGTTTCATCATCATCTCTCGCCCTGTGCAGAAATGACGGCTTTTGCTCCCCACAATATACAGCCATCCCTGACACTTATTTCAATTCTCCTTTGATGATAGGGTTGCAACTCAGGTTCCAGCACTTTTGGCCATCCACTCTGGATGCATTCACAAACCATAGACAAAATTACATCATGAGAGGTCCAGCGTCTCACTTGAAACGTGTCCACAGGTGTGTCACCTAATACATCATTAGTACCTGTTCAGCTCTCATCTTCTCTGTTGCCTCTACCTTGATGGGCAGCCTGCTTAAAGCATCGGCACAGAAATTAGTCTTACCAGGCCTGAAAACCATGGATAATTTGTAGGCACACAGAGTATGGCCCACCTATGTACTTGTGGGGAGCCTGTTCGAGGAATGTGTTTGTGGTCTGCGGTCTGTGCAGATAGTAAAGGACCTTCCATACAGGTATTTGTGGAACTTCTGAATTCCAAAAACTACTGCAAGCCCCTCTTTATCCAATTGTGAGTATTTTTCTTCCTCTGCTGACAGTGTGTGCGACATGAAACTTAGGGGTCATACGTTTCCATCTTCCAGTCTGTGCGATAGCATGGCCCCCTATCCCATATGGTGATGCATCACATATAAATACAGTGCTCTTCAGTGCTGTTTATTTCTAGTAAAACACTCATTTTTTCTCCACTTCTCCTTGTCTAATGGAAACAGTAAAGCACCACGACTACCGCGCCCCTGAACAAATTCACATTCACGTGTTTTGTATTAACCACAAATATGTTCTTGATGCAATGTTTAAACTCAGTCCTTGCATTTCTGGCGCTATCAAAATGCCAAAATTACACCCTCAATGCCCTACAGTGAATAACATTATGTGTGTGATGACTGATTTAACAAACTTTCTAATGAGACCATTATTTTAAACATAAATTTTGATAATAGTTTAAACATAGTTTGATAAATACATATCAGAAATACATGTACACATTTGATTGATTTATTAAGGGAAACCTGTGGATTCAACATTTGTAAAAACTAAACCCTGAAAAATATGGTCAGAACAGATAGAGCCTTCTCTCTCTCTCTGTCTCAGTTTTTAGGTGCTTTATTGGCATGACAAAAATGTGTACATTCAAATTGTCAAAGCATTGCAGCGTTGCTGCATACAATTAAAAACTGTGCAAAATAGTAGTGCAAAACAATATAAAGATAGAAGACAAAAAGACAAATAGAAATACAAAAAATAAAATAGGTGGCATTAAAGAATAGAATAAATTCACAAGTAAATAAAAATAATTACAGTAATACAATATGGTCAAGGTGGATAGTCTGTCATATTGTAGTCTTTTTAGAGCCAAATAACATGGCATTTTACTTTGTTGTTGTGTTTG